ACAATGATTATCTATTTGTAATTAGCTGCAGATGTTCAGATCTACGTCTACGTATTTTCAGCAATTCTGCGTTCAGTTTCACAATATTTGTCGATATTCAAGATGGCTTATTGAACAAATTTTAGGACCATGTTGCGAAAAAATATCTACCTGGCATCTAATTGTACAAAACATGTAGGCATTAACAAAAAGGGGAGTTTAAAAATTGTCCACATTGTATCAGTGTGTCTTTGTTCAAGTCGTTGTAACACTGAGGACAAACTAATTCTCTAAATGTGGTTCCTATTATATTAATGCAAACTCTTTTTCCTTTGTCCTTTCTGTGTTTATTTGAATCAATTGTTTAATTATCGATCACATTTATGGCAGCATATGTGACTAATGCTATGTGGTTTATTTTGTGTGTCATATTCAGATGTGCAGCACTTGAAGGAATGCTTACATTCATTGGTATATGAACAACAACAGCTAGCCACTGAAGCAGCAACTACCACGCTGTCTTCAACACGGTTGCAGCAACGTCTAACAGTGTTAGAAAGATACTTCACCGCCCTGGCAAGACACAACCCTGAACAAAGACATGCTCTACAGAAAAAAACAGATGGACCAATTGTGAAGAGTAGTAAAAGGTAAAATTGTTTTCTCATTATTGTTTTGTCATTTTACAAGTCCATGTTGTATATGATTTCTACTGTATAACTCTGATTTAAAAACTGTATTATCTGTTAAACTTTTTTGTAGTCTTGAAAATGTATAGTAAAATGAGCCATGATTTGGAATCAGCAGTTTTTTTTATCTGGAGTACCTAAAAGTCTTGGCATGCTGCTTGCAATGCTGTTACAAATCCTGCTTTAGAATACACTTAAGGTAGAGATGCAGTTTACCTGACAGGTATTTTAATTAGTTAATTAGGAAACCAAGATCACCTCCCTTGTCCACAAAACTATATATTTTCGGAAAGCTTATTGTATGAATTTTAAAATTTTGTTAATATTTTTTTTTATGGACACTGTAGTTTGAAATATGCACAAAAATGTGCAGCAGCTCAAATTTCACTACTTCAAGTTTATGCATAAATTAACACCAAGGCTAGTTGTCTGTACGATTGTTGTGACACTGTTCAATCAAAAACAATGCCCCAACAGTGTTTTGAAGATAAACACATTATCAATCATTTGTGAAAATTTCAAAACAAAAGGTCAAAGCGTCTAGGAGCTATTGTTTTTTAAAGTTCTGGGATGTGCACTAAAAAGAAGCTGAGATAATTGCTAATTTGCATAACAATTCACTCAGTAAGAAGTTTGCTAATGCTCATAATTAAAATGGCTGTAACAGTTCCAAATTTAAATGTATTATCGTTTTGTTAAATACAGTGCATATTATGAGATCCTGTCATTTCTTTTTTTCACCATGTTTCTTTTTTATTATTTATGTACAGCCTTGCTAAATCTTGCCAAGCATTCAAAAGAGAGGATGTTTGCCCTGTTATCTATATTTTAAAATCGTTTTTTTGAGTATGTTCCACTATTCACAATTCTACAAAATTTTAACAGTCCATTAGACTGATTGGATAATAAAAAGCAAAAAAAAAATTTCACTCCCAAGTGCCACAAACCTGCATCTCTACCTTAATACAACTAGCCTTGGAAGTATGAAATGTTACATGTTCAGTTTGATGGAGTGTAAATGAATACTATGAAAAACATGTATAAATTTAGAAAGAAAGGGACAGTACAACTTGAGAAGTGGGTGTTCATCGAACTAATCTCTGACTTAGTTCTGTTGATGCCCAAAGCTGCTGACAATTTGATCACAGCCATTTCTTACATAAATGCTCAGCAGTTTGCTCCCAATTTTTGACCTAGATATCTTACAAATACAGTATTGTTACATTTGGTATACAGTCCACACTACTTCATTCATCAATTGCTACAAACTTAATATATCAGATATATAATCACTGTTCCCTTTTTTAAAATCTTGAAAATACTGTGAAAATTTGCCCATTTTCCCCTTGAAATGTTTTTTCTGCATACAAAATGCATGGAAAGTTTTTCAAAAGACAAAATTTCACTGAGAAACTACAATTGAATCTGAGAAAATTGGGCGAAAATAAGGCTTAGAGCGAACACTGTATATAATATAGTTATAAAATAAAACTCATCCTATTTCACCTTTCTATTGACTTTTTGTAAAAATCTGCAGTGGTTAATTCTCTTATTTTGACAGTGATTCCAGCTTATTCCTTGCTCTTTGTTGATATTGCTTGACTTATCACTCACACAAAGTAAAAACTTTTATGGTCTGACTTGAATATGTCTTATTTCAACACCTTAATTTTTTCACATCTGGTAATTTTTGGGGAATTTCTACACATTTGTTGTCAAAATATTTGAAAAAAATTCTAGAAAAAGTTACGCAGGTTTATTTTGTGATGTGCGATGGATGTTGACATTGACATTCAAAGGGTCAAAGGTCAACACCAAAAAGTGAACACAGTGTTAAATACAAATAATTTGTTTGCAGTGCTGCTAAGATAGGTGAGAAAGCCACCACTGGTCTCGCTAGAGTTGGGTCACGTGCTGCTCTATCATTCGCATTTGCATTTTTACGCCGGGCATGGAGAACTGGTGAAGATGCTGATCTGTGTAGAGAACTCTTACAAGAATCATTAGATGCCATGCGTTCCCTGCCAGAAGCCACTCTGTTTGATGAGACTTCAATGTCCAAGGTTTGGTTAGAAGTGGTAGAAAGGGCTTCTAAATTCCTTCGATCAGTTGTGTTGGGGTATGTGTTATTTTATATTGTTAAAAAATAGAAGTATGACTACTAATCTTATCATTGTATCATATATGAATGTGATATTATATTTTCCGAGATATGCACAATCAAAGTAGGCTATCACTATCATTGGAAAACTAAGTTGTCATTTGTCATCTAATTGGCAAATACTGTATTTATTGTCCAGTCTTATTGTTAATCACACCATCTACGTGTTGTATAATGCATAATGATAAAGTTGAAAGCAGAATCCTGTCTGTGGTTAAGAACAGATTCAATACAGCAAGGATGACAATTCTTGTCTTCATGTTATTAAGCAGAGAATAGGGCTGTCCTAAAGCTGTGCAGATGTTGTAAGTGTATTCATGGTTTTAACTGTACATTATATCCATACATCAACAGAGATCTGAATGCAGGTGCTACTGCTAAAGGAGCTAACACCATCCCAGTTGGGGACCAACATGCTGCGTTAGCTTTGCTGTTGGAGCTTTCCATGCAGAGGGGAACACTCAGTGAAATCCTCTGCTCTGTACTTTTGCTGCTACAACTCTGGGAGTATGGTCAACAAGAAACTGACAATAGGAGCAACTCTGCGGGTACAAGTGCACCTTTGGTTCCATTACTTCGCAGATTTCAGGAAGTATCGGGTATGAAGTCTAAAGGACCGGAAAGTCCAAAGCTAGAGGAGGTAGGTCTGGTGGGTGGATCTATATGTTGATGCGGTGTAGCTAATGCTTGCTCAGTGATTCATATTGTATCATCACTGCTCTCTTTACAGTACAATCAATGGAGCTTCTAAGAATTATTGGAACAAACAAATACTTATGACTAACTTGACTGCGTTGTTTCATGACATGCACGCAGTTTAGATCATTCATTAACTTGTCAGATGAGAGTAAAGTGCATTTTTGCAAATTGATATGATATGCTTTAATATTTCTCAAATTAAATGCTATGTTGATAAATGAGAAATGAAGAATACAGTATTTGTAAGTAGCGCTTACACTTACATAAGCTATGAAGTACTTTTCAATGATTTAGCATACTATAAATGCAATTGTTTGTCTATATGCACATCTAATGGAGATGAGCTTCTGATAGATCAAATACATACACTAGATTTGCAAATCATCATGTTGAATGTGTTATCATGCAGCGCCATCAAGTCTAGAACAAAGCAAATAACAAGTGTTTCGCAAAGTTTTGAGTGATCTTGCTAATAGGCTGCGTAGAACTGCTGTAAATTGGATCAGATTTTAAATTTTCAGAAAAATAACAGTGCAAATTTCACAAGTATCTTGTCGATTTTGCTAATTTTATCAAATCATGAGATGTTGTTTACAATGCTTTAAACAGTTCTCTGCACCCTGTTATGCAAATGATTAAAAAGCAGGTTATGTTAAAAAAGGGTTGAATAACTTTTGTGTACTTACTTCACTGTTACAGTCGACAGGTAGTCTCAAGATAAGTCCCACAGATTGTTTTCTAAGATATTTACAATTACCTAAAGATGACGATGCATCGGTGGATCTCAGACAGTCTGCTGTTGTTATCATGTCACATCTAGACAGACTAGCAATGCCATATACTCCACCATCGGCCACACAAAAGGCAAGTACCACTTTGTTCTGTAACTGTCTTATTAAAATACTGTTTCCAATAAGAGGCAGTACAGAATAGCCCAAAACTTGGCTGACTTTTTAAGTTTATTAAAACTTACTATGATTTGTTACAACTAACATTGCTTTTTTGTCAGTGAATCCATTATTAATATCATGGTTTTTGAGTTGAGTCCCAGTAAATGTTCAATTTTTGTGTAAGTAACAACATGATGGTTACATATCAAATACAACAAGTGTGACTTTTAAAACAATTTTTATACTTGCGCTTATTGATTTAGGTTTCCTCCTCGGCTAGTACATCACAGGAAGTACTTGGATGGGGTTGGATTGCATGGATTGGTGGCAGCACAGCTCCATGTGGCCCTTACCCTATAGAATCTCTTGGTGATCTTGGTATTAGACAGATATGTTGTGCTGAGAGATGTTTACATGCACTCACTAGTAATGGGAAAGTCTATGTCTTATACTATAGCTCTGATGTTCAGGTATGTACTTTATCACATTATGATATGATACATCGCTGTAGGATGATTTGCACTGCTCTGTGTTGTGACCATATTTAGATTATTGTGTACACTCTGAGAGAAGCAAATTGTTTTTTTAAAGATGATAAAAATATTTTGATTCACATTTGGTCACCTTTACTATAGATTGAATAGATTTATTTTGGTTGAGACAGAATCACATTTGAGAGAATTTACTTTATATTTCACACCATGAGAAGAAAGGAGTGTTTTATCAAACTAACATTTTGGTCTCTGCTTGCATTTCATTTAAATCAGATGATTTTTCTGAAATTATGAACACCATTAATATGAGACAGTTACATCATTCTAATCAAACTTACCATATTTGCTTTATTAGACTCAGTGCATCTTCAAAATTGTTTATTGTATGCTGGATCGTCTTCTAAGCTCATTTATGGAAAATTTTCTCAGTGAAATTTGCCTATCTATGAAACATTTCTTACAGTTTCATGCATAATAGTGTTTTTTGGGATGAAATCACAACATTTCTCTTTCTAAATGTTCTTAGTCGGAGCACAAGTGCTGGATTATTGAACATAACTTATTTTGAAACACCTGACCTCTGTCATTTATTTAATCAGTTGTTACCAATGAGTAAATATGGTATACAATATAGAGTAGCTTTTACACTTTAGAATTGGCTGGTGGCTTGGGTTTTATTCAGATAATGTTACAAAGAAAAACATCCTTGATATTATGTTTTCTCCAGGGTCCTCAGTTATTAGAAAGCATTGCTGACAAAGAGTGCATAAAGATTACATCTCATGCTGAGGGTAAACATTACATGGCATTGACATCAGATGGTGATGTATACTCCTGGGGTAATGGTGATGGTGGCCGTCTAGGGCATGGTGACACTAAGTAAGTATTAACACAAGTTACATTTAACATCTATATAATAATTTTCTGTGTGTATTAAAAATACCTTAGTATATATTTACTCGGGTCATCAAGAACTATGGCTTTCATAAACGTTTGTTTTTGTGACTGCTCTCAAATCATCAAACAGTGATAATTGTAGAGAAATATATCAACTTAAAGTACTATGTAAATAAAAAAAAGACTTGTTATCTGAATGGGACTTTTTTTTCAACAGATATATTTGTAGATAGGAATAAAATTAAAATGCAGTGTAAAGACGGAGAACAACTTGCAATCATTTTGGCTATTATACAAAGAGCTATTTGACCAAATCACTGCCAGTGGTCACTGGTTACATCCAACATTAGAGGTCACTTTGAATGTAAAGTGGCCTCCATTTAAAATTAATGTTTTTATGTTAATGGTATGTTACTCTTGTTCTTGTAGAAGCTTTCAGTATGTTTCAAAGTGCTGAGATTGAATCGAGAAATCATTTTGGCACCCCACCCACATTTGTCTAATTACTTCTTTCATTATTCTGTACAGTGCTCGAGATGAACCAGTGTTGATCCAGTCACTCTGTGGTAAACACATCACACATATATCCTGTGGTAGCACATACAGTGCGGCCATCACATCCCAAGGTGAACTCTATACATGGGGTAGAGGTAACTACGGCAGATTAGGACATGGTAAGTAGGCAGCAAGTCGCTTGTGATATGACTGCTTTGACTTGCGGAATTCTGTGTACAAATCTTTTGTTTGGTTACATTTTATTTGAGACATAGTTTTTTATGTTTTGTTCCACAGGTAGTAGTGAAGACCACAGCACACCATCATTAGTAGTTGGGTTGAAAGGTCAAAGAGTGATTGACATATCATGTGGAAGTGGAGATGCCCAGACCTTGGCCGTTACTGAAGACGGTAAGAAAATATTTTCCACTAATAATTGTACTGTCAATCACTTTAATTTAAAGATAAAGTTTGGCAAGTCTGTGAAAATCGGGACAATTTCGTAGTTGTAAAAATTTCACTGAGGTCTAAAGAGTAATTTTTATCCTCACTAATGCCTTGTCATTAATGCCTAATTTAATTTCTAGCAGTCATAATTAAATGTTTCACATTATGTTGTGATCAGATGTCTTCAGTTATTTATTATATACCATATTGGTTCTATTAGTAGGGCATGCACTTATGTGTCTACAATCAAAATGAATCATATTGTGATAATCTATTATATGAAATAAATACATTTGGTTTCTGTGTGCTTCTAATAGAACACATACGGTATAGCTTCTCCATTATGGTCAATAACAGCTTAATTATTGAAGAACTTTGCGTTAATTGTGATTATTTATGGAGCAGTTAACTTGAAATTGTATGATACTATTGACTTGGCACAATACACATGTTAACATAATTGGGGCTTTAAATTCAACTCTAGGTACAGGTGTATGTATTTTATCCCAGTAACTATATTTACCATGCTGCAATGCATTCATACATAGCCAGGCTGTCAGACCATAGATTGTTCTCTGAAATCATGTGTTTTCTATTGGCAGGTTCTGTGTGGTCATGGGGTGATGGTGATTATGGAAAACTAGGGAGAGGTGGCAGTGATGGCTGCAAAACGCCTAAAGTCATTGATAAATTGAATGGCCAAGACATCATAAAAGCTTTCTGTGGTGCACAGTTTTCAGTGGCTCTTAGCAAAGGTGGTAATGTGTGGACATGGTAAGTAGTCACATTTCATAGTGTTTCTTTCAAATGACACTCAAACTTTAATATAGTTACATCCTATTACAAACCAGACACTTTTAGTTAGTGTTTCGATAACATGTTGCTGGAAATTGAGAAAATTGAACCAGAACTGCTATTACATTTCCACAGGGGTAAAGGAGATGGCTACAGACTTGGCCACGGAACCGAGGAACATGTGCGTCACCCCAAAATGATAGAAAGTTTACAAGGCAAGAAGATTGCTGACATACAAGTGGGGTCCATGCACGTACTGGCTAGGACTGAAGATGGGGAAGTTTACTGCTGGGGTAGAAATGATCAGGGCCAGTTAGGTGATAACAGTCTAACCACCAAGTCAGAGCCTACTCTTATGAATGCCCTGGATGGAAAGAATATATCGGGTGTGGCATGTGGACCATCACAGGTAGGTCCACTCTACTATATGTAGTATGATGTCGCCGCAATTTAGGGAGGTTATCACGTCTGATTTTTTACTAGCGATTACAGTAAATTTATGGTTAAATGATACATCGTATACCTTTTCAATGATTTGTGATGTTTTACATGAAAATGAAAACATGAATTTGTACAGTAAAAATAAATAGAACATTGAATGTCAAATTGTCACGTTGTTATCCTACTTTGCATCTATGTGTATGTACATGTGGAATGCATTATTTTTTTTAAGTGCGTTGTCTTTTCATTTTTTCTCTCTAGAGTTTCGCCTGGTCAACCAGTGGTCACTGGATGGTGAGTTTACGAGTGCCGTTCTGTGTCGATGTCTGCAGATTGACTTTTGATTACTTAGATCAGTTACTCCGACAAGTCTGTGATGACCTAGATGGTCGAACTGACTGGCCGCCACCACAGGAGAAGGAGTGTATGGCTGTTGCTGGTTTGAATCTTCTTCGATTACAGGTATATATGTTTAAAGTTATATAAACTAGTGATCCCTTCTTACTATAAATGTATATTTGTGTGTACTAATAATAAATTCTACACTATAGCTCATTGCACAGTGTTGTTATTTGTTAATAGCTGGCAATCTGCTGTGATAATATTGTTTTTATTAATCAGGAAATATACATGTACCTGTATATTAATAAATAACAACAGTAGCTTATATTCTCTTCAGATGCGAACCAGTTCTTGCCAAGTGCCTGTGTATACTCATGCACACAAATTGTCTACAAGTGCAACCTATGATATGCTGACATGTGTATTTCATTAGAAGTACACCACTAATGTGTAACTACTTGTTTAATCTAACTATAATTTAATTTAATGCAAGTCCCCCCCCCCTCCAGCACTTTCTAAAGTAACTTCTGAACCTTTTTTTCCTGACAGAGATATGCATAGTGACCATCCAAAGTTGCAGGTTCATTAATCTGTAAAGAAAATATGTAAACAATTTTTCAGTTTATGTTGGTGGTCACATCAGACAAGCAACCTTTTATATACAGGCCACTCTACATGTAAATTGTGTTGGCATTGCCTGAAGGGGGGTCACTACTCGTACTGTCATGTGACCTTTTATACAAAGGTCAAGTTATACTAAGATGTGCACCATCAGAAATGTTTTGCACTTTCACCTTTTATGATAGTGTTCTTAACATGCTATTGAACATACAACAAATGATCTTAATAGTTTGATTACCGTGTAAGTGTGATTGTTTTTTTTTTCTTTAGTTGCATGCTGCAATAACACAGAATGAAAATCCAGAAGATCTTGGACTTGGTCTTGGTGGATCTCTACTGTTTAGTCTTAAACAGCGTGTTGTTGATCTAGCCAGTAACGCAGGTGTGCTATCAACTGTACAGATAGCAGCTCAGTCAACACTGCAGAGTGGGTGGTCTATTTTACTACCAACAGCTGAAGAAAGGGCAAGAGCTTTGTCTTCTTTACTGCCCTCTGCAGGTAAAAGTGAGAAATACTTTTGTTTTTATAGAATAATATACACTGTCATTGCATTGTTTCACTTGTGCTTTTTAATCCTTTAAGTGCTATAGACTTTCCTGTACAAATCAACAGAATCTTAATTTAGCTAAAGTGCCAACAATTTCAATATGAGATTATTATTTCTTTAAATAAGCAACTTCTTGAATAAGCAAAATTATGGATTAGCTAAATTAGCTAAAATAAGATGCTAAAAAGACATGTTTTACATATTAGCACATAGGATTCACCACTATCTTTTGTGTACGCAGCTATTACATTTCCCATCACATACAAGTGCTATCCCAGGGGTTGCACAGTGCGGCTTTAAGGACCCAAGTGACATTTTTTTGGATTCATGAAAATTGTCTTTCCAGAAATTAAAATACTGTATAATACTTTATTCTCACTTGTAATTAATTTTCGCTGAAGGAATGATTCAGTAAAAATAAAATCCAGCGAATATACTTTTTTCCCTATATTTTACATTAAACTTGTCAAAAATTAGTGAAAATAAATTCCATAAGAAACACCAAAAAAGTCGTTTCAGCAAAAATTAATTCCAGCTGAAATAAAGTATTTTACAGTACAGTGGATTTCCCTCATCAGCTGAGATAATATGCTAATTAGTATGATGGTGTGCAATAATTTGCAGCTGGAGAAAACATCACCATGACGCCCGGTCGTCGTTTCATGATGGACCTGTTGGTGAGCAGCTTGATGGCAGATGGCGGATTAGAGTCTGCATTACGTGCGGCCATAAAGACTGAGGTGAAAGATATTGATGGTATGAATGAGAAAGAAACTGAAGAGGAAGGTTGTGACAAAGATATCACAGAGGGACTTGGCTTGCCCACAGCTAGCAAGAGGGAGGAGAAGAAAAAGGAAATAACAAGTAAAACCAAACCAGAGGCATCAAAAAAAGAAGACAAGAAAATAACAAGTATACCATTACTACAATTGGTACAACAGTTACTAAGGTTAGATACCAATATAAATATTTTTTACATTGACAACCATGACACTGTAGCCAATCTGTTCTGGGAGTATAATATTTTTGGCAGCTAACTTTGTATTGACCAATTGTTGGTTATGATGTTCTTGTTGGTAGCATATTGCTTGTTTACCCAATTATTTTGGAAACAGCAATGTTGAAGAAAAATTTATATATATATGATGTATACCATACATATATCCTTGTGAAAATGGACAACTCTTTTGAAAAGTGCGAGTGAAATGAGTTCAATTGTATTTTGTTACCTACTCAATTCACCCCATGTCAAATCCTAACTCGGGGATCGATTTTGGCTCTCATTATTAGATTTGTAAGTATGTGATGGCTATTCACAGTGTTTTACATGAAGACTGAGTTTGAAAACAAAACCTCTATACAACTACTAACCTTTATAACAAATTTTTGCAGGAATGCAGCTAGTTATACTCTGTCCAAACTCCAAGATCTATCTTTGGACGTCTCAATGGAAGATCTACCAAGGTCATCTAAAGTTGAGAAATCAACATCTCTCGACTTATTGCTTAGATTTCAACGCCTTTTAGTCGGTGAGCTCTTCCCCAGAGAAGAGGAGAAAAACAAAGCCGGATCTTCCACTGGTATGTAGAGTGGCTTTTATGTCAAATTGTTGAAATGCTTATGTTATACAAGTTGTATTTTGTAAGGTTGATCTGTTTTGTAATGCTTGAATATATCTGTGTTCGAATAAGCACTGATAATTTTAGCTTTAAGAAACCCTAAACTGTTGAAATATTGTATCTGTTCGTTGCTGAAGATGTTTTCATGGTTTAAATTGTACAAACATCACTGACCTTAAAGACCTTTACAAGATTATAAGAACAGAAAGTACTCTCCATTGTCACTGTTATCTTGTGTGCACTTTTGATTAATATCTTTAGTTTTTCCATTTAAAAAAAACTATTCCATATTTAATCTGTGAATTGAGGACACCAGTAGAATGTTTATTATTTGCTTCTAATAAATTAAAGTGTTTTATAGTATAGTATATGTGGACAGAGAGGTCATTGATTTTTAACACTCAGTTATTGTTATTTATTCTATAGATCCTGAATTACAAGGAGCTGCATCGTTGATGTGCAAATACATCTCACTACTGTGTTGTCATGTTAGTGATGTCTTATCAGTAGCAGCCAGTCTAGCTAACAGCAGTGCAAAGCATTTTGCTGCAGTGGCACACGTCATTGAGTCAGATATATCAGGTAATGCTGGTCATGTTATCCTAACCACTTGAAACATACAAATATAAATGATAAGATTTAAATGATGCATTAAAGTTATTTTTTTACTTTTATATATTTTTGTGCCAGCCTCTCCTGACTTTTTTGTCTTAGGTACTAATTGCAAGTGCTTGAGTGCAAACCACTTACCACTCTTCCAAACTATTACCAGGAAGGCAGGGCATACTGTACTCTGATTTATGCTGCTGACTGACCTTTAATATTTTCTAAAGTCATAATGGATTCCAAATGCAATTTATGAATTTTTATGCTTTCATACTCATGCAGTAAGATTTGTTTGTTCTCATGACTGGGAACATGGAACCAGGAACCTTCCCGTTAGTAGTTTATTGCCCATCTCCAATAATTTGCTCTGTCAATAGTTTCATCAATGGTCAAGCAACATGGAAAGATGGGTTAATTTACTTACAAATATATAATAATAATGGATTGTTAATTATTTGCCATACAATATTCATATCACTATGTTTTTTATTACAGGTGTTTTACTACCTGAGTTGGTTGTATGTATGGTGTTATTACAGGTACACTCATCAGCAATCATGCAATCATGCCAGGCTGTACCAATGTTAGGCAGTCTGTTAGAATTGTTAGACAGGTTTAATAAACTTGCACCTGGACTGGATAAAGAAGATTCTGAGGACCTTGCGTGGCCAGGTGTCATAGGTAAGTTATGTTTAATATTTTATGTTTAATTTACTTACAAAAGTTCTTCTGGTGGTCAAGTACACCCCTACCCCCACCCATTTCCAATTATGCATCAGTTCACATTGTAATATATCATTAAATCCTCAGCTAAGAACATATATAGTAATAACCAGAACAGAGGAAGTGATGACGTTCCCTTGATACGTAAAGCTGATTTAGAGAATCACAATAAAGATGGCGGATTATGGATTGTCATTCATGGTAAAGTTTATGATGTGAAAGATTTCCAGTCACAAGCACCATGTGGTAGCGATACACTTTTAAGATTTGCTGGTAAGTCACTCTGTAATTCTCACGATTACATATTGCTCCGTGTGTAAGGTTTGTTTTTCTACAACTTTAGTTTTTGATCTTTTGAAAACCCATCTATTAACATCAGTTGCATGTAAGCACATAAAAAAATACGCTAATCTCCTAATTCACATATGTTCATTTTTCAAATATCTAAATATGAAATATGTTCACTGATAGCTCGGGATGCCACAGAAGCTTTTGAGGAGGCAGAGCATTCAGCTGAGGCCCGGGAAATGATGCAAGCTTTCTTTGTTGGTGTTTATGTTGAGGTAAGTGAACTGTAAACTTAGATTATTCTTTATATTTACATTGCCTGTGGTGTTTGTTTTGATCTTTCAATCTACCTTCCATTCACCTATGTATTATATGTTGTCTGGTTGTTAGACCCATATGTAAGTTTTGCCAAGACATTGCAAGGTTACAATTTAGACAAGTTTTGACTCTAATATGTAGGCAGTGCATAAATAGAGTGCAGTGAATACCACTCAGATTTAAACACAGTGAGAGAACAAAACCATTTTCAAATTGTGAGCATTCTACATTTAAATACAGTGCATTATTATTTGATCAGAAGCATACAATTAAATTTGAGATTCGAGCACCCCTATTAAATATAGTAGGATGTTCAATATGCAAAACACTACAGGCAATGTTCTTAAGATTAGTACAATGTTGCAAGGGAGTTGGAAGATGGCTGTTATCTTGATCAGTTTATCCTATGCATACATACACACATACAATAATTTTGTCATCTAATCAAAGATGGCTGACTGGTGTCAATTTTAGTTGTTAAAATAAAACACTAAAATCAGATATTTGTCCAAAATCAGACCTTGGGTATGTGTTGTTTGATTTTATATGCTTATATTGTCTTTAAGATTAAGTACACAATGGGTACTGTACATTTCAAAAGGGAGACTCATTTTTGTTGTATTATACATTTATTCTAACTTGTTTTTGACCTCACCACAGCCTGAACAAGATGTTGTTGTGATGACTGACACTAGCAGTATTTCCAGCCCACTCATTGACACAGAGCGTGTGCTTGGTCTCTTGCTGGGACTCCATGCCAACCACCAGGCTCACAGCTTACCTATCACGTCTGTAGAAGAAGATTGCCAGCTGTGGTTGAAGTCAGATCTCTTCATGGGAGGATTACAAGTGACTCATCCAATTGCTAGTCCTACAGATGAAGAAAAGAGTGAAGCCAAAGCAACACCGCTGGGTTTCGCACCAACAAAACATGAAGAGAATCAGAAACTCTTCGCGAGACAGGTGTCCCAAGCTGATCCTTCAGGGCCCTTTCTGCAGGCCATCGCCGAGGGCAGAATGCAAGACCCACATGCAAAGACTTTTCTGTCCTACTGTGAAAGATACTGCAAACATCATAACCTGACAATGCCGATTGATTTCCCCAACGATCACCCTGTAGAGGAGGTGGGACGGCTTTTAATGGCATGTTTGATGAGACATCTGGATCTTGGGCATGCTGCTTTAGCACTTGTTGAACACAGTGGACATGGTGGTCAAGGGGATGCAGCTGGCAGTTCTGTTCCACATCATCATCGACACATTACACTTCCGAGATCCATTGTTGAAATGTGTAAAGTGGTCTTTCATGCCAAGTGTTCTCTCATCAAGGTAGGCATATGTGGTCTTAGTTACAGAAATATTCACCACTTAATCTTTTGTATGTCGCATTTTTTTTGCCAAACTATTGCTGCAGCATTATGCCCATTTTTGTATAATTTCTATATTAATATTGAACATAATTTCCTGCAAGGGCTTGATCAAAACTGTTAATTCCTCTGTTAAAGTATTATAATATAATCTTGTAGACTCGACAAGACCTTGACAGGTCTTACAAGGAAGTATGTGATCCAGTGTTTGAACGTTGCTTGTTCCTGTTCAATGAACTCAGACCAAGTATTGGTAATGAAGTGTCAGCAATGTCAAGACTTAAGATACTCAGTACACCGCCACGCTGGAGAAGTATAGCACACAAGATGATTAGAGATAAAAGGGCAGCTAAAGGTAATCTATTATAATAACGTATGGTTATGCTTGCGAACTTAAAATCAACAAAAGCACATTAGTTGAATTTATTGCCAAATGAGGTATTTTATTTTTAAGACTATAATTACATATAATTTTAATCAACAAAGTACAAAGTTTTTGTGATTATTTCAAATTCAAGACAGTGAAACATGCTGGAATTAAATACTTTGATTGGGAACTGTCGTAAATACAGTTGCGGCAAAAATCCTCAAAATCTGTTCATGGGTAAGGTAAATCTTCATCGTTCTACCTTAAATCTGTGTTCTTTGTTATTTGAAATGGTTATAGCAAACAGATATTTTATTATCACAAGG